TATAAATATAAAAATTAATCTTTAGATGATAGATATGGGGATACACATGAATAATGTGGCTCGTGCAAATACTCATATTTAAAAAAAGAATTTTCACACACATGAAGAGACATGCAATAAGAAAGCACCACTACCAGTATTATGCAAAGATGCACAAATGTATACATGCATGCATCAATCAAGCAAAGTTGGCCAACTAGACCAAAGCGATCGGTTGATCGGGTCGGGACAATCGATCGGGCCTGGACGACTGATCGGACCTAAGGATTGGTAGATTGAACTAGGGCTACCAATAGAACTCATGTGATAGGTCGATCGAGTTAGGGTTGCCAATCATACCTATGTGATCAGTCAATCGAGTTAGGTAGGTTGATCAAATTAAGTGATCGATTGATCAAGCTTGGCGGTCGATTAGATCGAAGTGATTGGTTGATTGGGTCAGAACGATCGATCAAAGCAAGAGTGATTGGTTGATCAAGCCAAAACGACGATCAAACCAAAAAATGTTTGGTCGATTGAGTCGGGATGACAATCCAACTAAAAATTAATGGTCGATCCAGCCAGGATGTCGATTGAACCAAAAGTGATTGGTTGATCGTGTTAGGATGATGGTTAAACCAATAGTGATTGATTGATCAAGCCAAGATAGCAATCAAACCAAAATTCAAGAAATAGTCAAATTTGTACAAAACATTTTACTAAGAGAAAACTCTCGAAATAAAATTTGAAGATTACCAAATAATTGATCTCTGGAAAATCCATAAAAGATATCTTTGCTCAATCGCCTATCCACACGACTCTGGTATTGAAAGAGATTCCTATGAAACAATATTAACTTTATTAAACTGTGTAGAAATTCAACGCAATTTTAATGAACCTAATAAATCTATTGCTTACAACAAAGCGACAATAAATCACATATTATATCATAAAGAATGAGGCTTAACCCCTTTTCAAACAATTAGAAGTTGTTAATCGTATAACTCATAAAAAAAGAATAGTTTTGTTTAATTTACGGGCCTATTGTTCAAGCCATGAATCAAGCTTTTGGAATCCTAAATCCAAAGCATAAAGACACTTGGTATTCCTTAATAAAGAAATACCAAATTCATTTTTCTCTTGGTGGGATAAATTTGGAGAAACAAACAAAATTCTCTCATAGACAATCTCTAATATTTACCATGCCCGGGTTGAATCCCAGCTTAGCTAAATAAAATAAAAAAATGAATTCCTAGAAGAAGGTACGTGTGAATTATTATTCTTTTATCAGACACAAATTCCTTGGATATTTACCTGTAACCTGTCTCATGGACAATATAATATCAACAATAAATGTTTATTTGGAACATTTTTTATCAAATGATGGTCAACGATCATCATCAATGATAAATTAGTTCAAAGTACTAATATAATTAAATCAAATACTTCAAATATTAAAACAACAAAAGATAAAAAATTTAATATAAAAGAAATTCACGATAAAATTAAAAGAAAATAACCTCGTAAAAATCCTGAACTAATAAAATGTCGATTACAAGAATTATATGAAAAACAAATGAAAGAAATATTTGAATTAGAGAGGAAGAAAATTGAGAACAATTTGTGTCCCACCTCATACCGAAGTGACAGACTGCTAACATAGATTGATAAAAGATCATCTGAATTTTTAGGTTTGCATCTATAACTTTATCTATGTTTAAAAGTTTTATTTTAAATTTAAAAGTTAATAGCAGTGATATTTTTAATGCCATATAAAAAGTGTTATAAATATAAAAATTAATCTTTAGATGATAGATATGGGGATACACATGAATAATGTGGCTCGTGCAAATACTCATATTTTTAAAATCAAAATAATAAAATCATAAAATGAACTGCAGCCCTCTCTATCCCTGAAGAAAACCCGACGAACGGGGAAGCATGGCCGCCGACCGAGACCGAGAGAATGAAGCTAAACTACAGCTCTTCCTTCAATGGCTGCAGGTTTTACTGCCTGTCTCACTCACTTTCTTTCTTCCTCTCCATCTCTCCACATCTTAAGTCCTAGACTCTAATGGAAACCCAGGTTAATGGTGTCGAACTCCGGTGTTGCACCATCAAGAGCTGCGGCCCTGAAAAAGGATTCGGAGTCTTCACCTCCTGCTCCCCCTCCGAAGATGGTAGCGCTTCAGTACTCCGCATCCCAACATTTACCATGCTTCGCATCCGATTTCTCATTACATTCCCCGATTTCGTAGGAGTTGCCATGGTTGTTCCTCTCGATCTCTCCATCACTCCTATGCGCGTCCTCCAAGATCCTTCCGTCGGCCCTAGATGCAGGGCGATGCTTGAGGAGGGCGACGTGGATGACCGGTTCCTTATGATTCTCTTCCTTACGGTCGAGCGCTTACGGCCGAACTCTCTGTGGAAGCCGTACACACCCTTTCGCACCTTTCAATACAATTATCCTTTACAGTTATCGTTTTAAGTCCTTTTTGAAGCTTTAATTTGATCCGCGTTGATGAAGCGAAAATAATATTTATTTTAATCGGGTCTCTTAAGAATTCAGTTATTCAGACTGTTTCTTACTTGTTCTGAAACTTGCTTTTAAACTTGTTTGTTCGAGTTTGTTAATGTAGAGGGACATTTGCATACATACCACCCAATTTTTGTGTATTTACATATGTAAAGCCTAAATTGTGGGATTTGTGCTAGGTATTTTGATATGCTTCCGACTACTTTCGGGAGTCCACTCTGGTTTACAGAGGATGAACTTGCCGAATTAAAGGGGACGACATTACACAAAGCAAGTGTTTTGCAGGTAAATAAGATGTATTAGATACATTTCAATGGTTGTAATTCGCCAACAATAAATTTAGAGTCAAATATAATCTTATAGAATGTGGAAATACAGTTATAATATGATTATAAATCTATTTTACAGTTATAATATGGTTCAAAGTACATGCAATAGACAAATCAGGTTGATGGTATGCTTAGGGGTATTTGCTTTCCTTTGTCGAAATAAAAAATTCAAATTTGGGTCAAACTATATACAAGTTTTTATATGTGGTGTAAACTTATATTGTAATTTTCTGGATGAATTAGCATGAAACCTTACATTTTTTTCCATGCACAAGTTTTATTTGTGGTGGATACTCAAGTATTTTTGGTGACTTGTTGATATACAGCTGAATCCAGTCAGAGTGAATATTTACATAATTTTGGCGAAATGAGTCAGCCTGATTGTTTTTATTAAATGAATAAAAAAATTCATTGATCAAGACTAAACTAATGAAGTAATTTTTAACTATGTTGAATTCAATATTTACTTGGGGATGTAGGAAACTATAGTGGTTGTACAACTCAATAATAATAAACAATAGTAATATGTTTGTGTTTATGAATTTTTATGCTTATTAAATTTCATCTTCATGAATATTTCTCATATTTATGTTTTTTTTCCTCAAGTAATAATTTATTGTCCAAATTAAGAACTTATGATATGTAAATTTGAGTATATATGTTTGATTTTGTCCATCTCATTGTAGATCCATATTAGCAAACTTTAGATCTTAAGACATCATGTATCAAATTGTATGGCAAGGCTTGTTGGAAGACCATGGATAAATTTACTAATTGTCATCATCATTTTTCACTCTCTTTTTTCATATTTATTTTGCATTGGATCTAAGAATCCTCAACTTTTTTTTTTTAATTTCTTCAAGTGTCATATGAGGTGTGCACCGTATTTTGTATAACTTTATTTTTCAACTTCTAACAAAATTTTAGTTTTAGTGTATACATTTTGAATCATTATATCTTCAAATTAATTATATTTATGTTGTTATTGCATCACTTTTCTTCATTTGTTTGTGCTCAAACCGCCTAAATCTAAGTTTGACCTTTTTTAGTTATCATATCACATGAAAATTTAAGCCTTACTGACATCTTAAACTTCAATGTTCGTTAAAACTGAAAAGAGTATGCCATAATTCATGCTTGTTTTGACTTGCAATTCAGTCACTCCTTTTTCTATCAGGATCTTATGTGAAATTGAGAGCAAACATTGTTAAAGCTGCACCAATGATGGTCTGAATTTATTTATATTAAATTTTGGCTTTTTTAGTGACTACTTTGACACTATCTTTCTGATTTAGAGGAAGAATCTTCAAGCTCTGTATGATGATAAAGTAAAAGTCTTGGTGGATGAGCTTTTATGTGGTGATGAGAGGTTTGAGAAGTGCTCTGTTTCTTCTCCTAAATTGTTTCCCTTTTTTATGGTTTAATATTGTATTTTTTATCTTCTACAGTGTCTATTTTAACTTCACTATCTTTTTATTTTAGTTCCATGTTTTTCTTCTTCTTTATGATCTTCACAGTGTCTATTTCCATGTTATATGCATGTTGTGTTAAGGTACCACTAAGTACTTCTTGAAGACTGGGAGCTCGAGTAATGTTGGAATTATGAAGTTGACACTTTAGAAAACAATGTCTATTACTGTAGCCCGCAGGATTTTATTTAATAAATCATATTCCAAAAGTAAATGTTGATGTATATGATTGTACCTAATCGTCCTATTCTAGTCAGTCTTCTTATACATATCGTGAATTGGGTTTTGATCAATCAGGGTTATAAAGTTTCATCTATTTTTATTTTATTATCTTATTTACAGATCATTTATAAGCTTTTTGACCTGACTGTCCCATCCGTAAAATGTCATGTTAACATGATGTAAAATCACGTAATTTGGTAGTTTATTGAACTATATGTTTACAAACTTGTGTAAGTCTAGGAGTGCAGGCTCCTGTATCTCTTCCACTAGTCTAAAAGCATGATCCTTGATTTGAGTAGGTCTATAAGGATTTTTATTATGTTCATACCATTATGCAAATGAGTTCGAACATGATGGACAATCATCTAAAATCAGACATCTTGCTGACGCTAATTTTGTAGTCGTGTTTGAGATTATTGCTAAGCCTGAATTTGAGATTTTGACCAAGCTTATTGCTCAGAGCAAAATCTCTTATGCTATTTTTGTTATAAGATCAAGTAACTTATGTAATTTTATATTTTTGCAGGACTCTTCTTCAATTGTACATATTGTTTCATAGGCTAAAAAATTATTGCTTGGTTAATCTCTAAAAATATAGGTGGTCTGTATTACCATAGAAACAACTGATGCGGCCATGAGATTTTATTTAATTATATTGGTCAAACAAGATGATTAATTTATGTTAATGTTCAAAATCAAATCCTCTAGTTCTACTCCCCATATTGAGACAACACATATTGGTGATATATGAGATTTTCATGAAATTGTTCCATCACTTGCTACCGCAATTTATCCCAAACTTCTAGAAAATGGCTTTTGCATGCCTCTTTAGGAGAAGGGTCGAGTTGATGCATTACAAGACATTCATAACAGATAAATCTATTCTATTTGTTGAGTATTTAGTTATTTGGATTGTTTTAGGAATTATTTCATTTTTATTATGTTTTATTTTTTGGATAACATTTATTTTAAATTAGTCGATTGGATTTGGAAGGCATATCTAGTTTTAAGCATTAAATGTGATTTGATTTTTAAACTGTACCCTTTTTTTATATAAATAGGGGTTTATTGCTTCTGATTGAAAAGTTAACTCAAGGCTGATTTATAATAGAAAGATTCACTAATTTTTATTATCTCCCAAATTATTCCCTTATCGTACATTCTTGCTGGTCAAGTGAATATCACATGTACCATTGTAGGTAGTTTTGCTACCCAGAATGAGGAAGAGAAGGATTATAATGCTTCAAGTTTTTCTATGTAATACCACCCACCCATTTTTGGAGATTTTTTTTTTTTCAAATTCATTTTACGTTTTTTCAAATTCATTTTACTTTATGTTTTTCAATTGGTTCTGTATTAGCCAAGCTACTTTCTGAAATTTTGAAAGAAAAAAAGTTAAAGCCGCTCTTATTGTTACCATGATTCAACTGCTTTTGTGTACCTTGTTGATTATGTGATGTTATTTTTGTACATATGATTATGCTTTATCACACTTATGTTTGTATTCTGTGTAGTGCTACCAAAAAAATGTTTGCAACATTTTCCTAGTTAAAGTTTATGTTGTAGTTTGATCTATACTGTTAGATGAATGTGATTCTTAAGACTTTTTCATGTCAGAGTTATTTATTTAATTTTTAACATCTTTTTAACATTAAATTTTTATTTTTTTTTTCCGGAGCTGAAAATTGATTTCTTGGTGCCATGACCAGTTTAAGGGAGGTGCAGTTTGAGGATTTCCTTTGGTATGTATCTTTTGAAGTCATATAAGTTGTGCCTAGCGATTTTGATTCATTATATTCTGTACCATACGCAATTTTTTAAACTAGTTGATCTCTTTTCATTTTATTTTCGAGAAGATAGTTTTTTAATTGCAAACGGGGAAGCTGAATCCAAATTTATATATCTTTTGGAAAAAAGAATGATAAAATAATGGATTTAGCTTTTTTTGTTTTTGTTTTTTTTTTGTATGAATCGCATACCTTGGGCAGTTTTATTTAATGAACTGTTGATTTCATCAATCAATCCAAGCGAAGTTAGCTAATGGTGAGGTAATATTTTATCACGTGTGTGATTAATATGCCTATAGCTTTCAATGCACAATTGTTAGTTTACTATTCTTTATCAATGTTTATGGATCATATGATGTATAAATATTGTATATATATGATGTATAAATATTGTATATACGTTTACTTCTGGTAGGCCTTTTTTGTGTTATTTGAGCTATTTGAACTTACTAATATATAAATTTAAATTTTTTGTAGGCTGGTATTTTTCGGAAATCATTATTTTATTTTAGATGATTTTCTGTTTACATCCAAATCCTTTGAGATTGTTTATGTGATATTGTTAACATCCAAGCTCTTCTTATATCTAGCCGAATAGTTCTCGCACAGTTTATTTATATATTGTATGTACATTGTAGTGGGATCTTATCATTTTGCATCCAATTTTGAGAATAATTTATTAGTATTTTGGGAACAAAAGAGTGCCATTGTTTTAGTTTTAACTTGACAATTTCATTTCTTTTTTTAACGAAATTCATATGCAGAAAGTTTTTTTTTAAAGGATAAGTTGCATTTATATTCCTTTTATATTCCTAAATTTGTGACTTAATGCAACCGAGTTCATAGTATTATAAGATTAGCTTGGTGGTCCTACCATCTTTGGGGTGTTTATGTTCTTAGGAACGACTACTGTTATAAACACTGTTAATAATGCATGTAGAACTACCATATCCATCTATTCAATTTCATCGTCATCCTTATATTTAGGGCCTATTGCATATTAAGTGTACAAATTTTTGAAATTCATGTAGGTCCTTGTGAACATGAGATTTTTCTGAAAAATCTACCATGCATTTGAAGTTCAAAAATGAGAGTTGTCAAGCTAAGCTATTTTTTATTTTGAAGCAAAGAATCACTAAAAGGGAAACAAAATTAGTATATAATACACTCGATTTTAACTGATTTTGTCAATGAACATATGCCTTATATGGTGGATAGAGGAAATATTTCTACAATGAAGTAAAGAAGGGTTACAATTTGCAGTAAACAATCTCTAAAGATCCCAAAATCCCTAATGATGCCAAATGTTATAAAATATGCTTATGGTCACAAGAAGATACTAAATAGGACCGAACTCTACGTATTTGTAGCTATCACTTGACAATGTAACTTTTCAAGATAGCTTGATGGGTGGGTGTCTTGTGGTGGCAAACTTTGCAATTTGTAAGAATGAGGCAACAAGTTGAGTCGAGTATGTCATGGATTGGACTTGGCTTGGTCGAATCATAAGTTCATGTTTAGTTCAAGTTTGAGCCGAGCTTTCACATATATGTTCATATTTGACTTGATTAAATATTTTAATCATTATACTTGATTTGTACTTGGTTTGTAAGTTAATAATTTGGATGAGTACTTGATTTTTCATATAAAGTTAAAAATTCAATTTTCGCTTAATTTTTTATATAAAGCTAGGAAATAAGCTAAAAATTTGAATGATACTTGACTTTTTTATATAAAGTTATTAATAAATAATTTTAAAAATCTAAATAAGTAAAAAAAATGAATAAATTTTAAATTACCATCTGACTAATTTATACCATGTAAATAAAATAATATATAAGTCGTAAGTAAGCTTTTTTTACAATCAACTAACATATATTAGTACTAATTAAGATAAATAAATAAAACTAATTCATTGGAATAAAAAAATAAGAAAAAATTGCATTAAATTTATATGCATATTGATATTAAATTATAAAATATTGCTATTAAATTTATAATTAAATAAGTTATTGTTTATTAGAAGCAATTCCAATGTATTTTGTTGCCTTTCATGTTATTTCTTTATATATGTATTTTCTAGTTTATGTCTTTCCTTTTTATCGTTTGGGTGATATTAGGAATGATTTGGGTATTATATCTTTCTTTTTTTATATCCCTTGTATAATGTATTTATACCCATTTTGCTACTTAATTCTCGAAATCTACATGGTATCAGAGCCAAGGACATCAGCATAAGTGTCGTCGGTACATCTCCCTAGCAGCCGCCGGCTCTCCCTGCAAGATATCCTGCAATTTATTTTTGTCTTCGCCAATTTCCTGCAGGGTTTCCCTTTGTCTTGTAGTTGTTTCCTGTAGGTTTTCCGCTGCTCTTCCTAGTCACAGGAAGCAACAATTTTTTTGCTATTCTTCCCCGCAAAACTTCTCAATCGATTTGCCTGAAATCCAATGCTACATCCTGCTGGTCATCCACAAAATACAGCCTTGGTTTCTGCAGTTTTGTTATGGCAGAAACCTTTGTTTCCATGAAGGTTCAACTGATTTCCTACATCTCCGACCTGATCGACAACGGCGCCGCCTGTAGCTTGGTCCTTCCTTGCAAAATTTCCCATCGCTTGCCCTTCCTCCTGCAGTCGGAATCCTTCTATGTGTCGGCATCCCAACCTTATCTTTGGCTTAGTCAGAATCATGGAAGACTCCTATACCACCGAGCCTCTTCTAATAGTGTACTTGAGTCCACTGGAGGATTGACCTCGATCTTAGAAGCCACAACGGTACAACCGACTTCCACTCAGAACATCCCAAAGTCACTAGACTCCATTAAGAGCCATATGAAGCACTTGATCAAACTTCTTAAAGCTAGTCAGTTCTCCTCTGGCCCTTCGACCTCCCATGTTCATCAAGGGAACTTTCCGATGTCACTCACTATTTTTGCTTCCTCTAGTTCGTGGATTATTGATTCAGGTGCCACAGACCATATAAACCGAATGTTCTCAAGCCTTCTCGTCATATTCTCCGCGCTCTAGGAGAGATGCTGTTTAAATTGCTAACGGCTCTGGTAGTTTCGTTGCGGGTAAAGAGTTTGTTGTTTTAACATCAGACCTGATTCTAGAATCTATGGTACATGTACCTTCATAAAAGTGTAACCTATTGTCAATTAGTAAGTTGACGTATGATATTGATGATACTCATTTTTCTCCTAATGTTTGTATCTTTCAGGATCGTCGTTCGAGGAGGATGATTGGAACTGCTAAGCGGGTAGCCGTACTCTACTTTTTTCAAGAGAAAAACAATATTGACGAATGTCCTATTATGCTTTTAAACAGTCGTTTGGGTCATTATAGTTTTCAATATTTAAAACATTATACCCTTTGATGTTTACTAATAGTAATTTATCTAGTTTTAAATGCGAGATTTGCTAGTTAGCTAATCATCACTGAGTACCATATCCATCACTCTTACATTTCTTCCACTCATTTTCCACTAATTCATGTTGACTTGCGGTGGTTCCTCACCTTGATTGATTATCACATTCGAATAACGTGAGTCTTTTTCTTAAAAGATAAATCTTAAGCTGCTGCCACCTGCAAAAATTTTCATTGTTTCATTTTGACCCAATTCAAAGCATCGATTCAAGTCCTTCGGGCTGACAATGACTGTGAATTTTTTAATTCTATATTAGGGGATTTCTTAATAAGTAAGGGTGTCATCCATCGCAGCTCCTGTATGGATACTCCTCAACAAAATGGGTTAGTCGAGCGAAAAAAACAACACCTTCTCGAAGTTACCAATTTCATTATGTTTCAATCTAATGTCCTGAAATAATTTTGGCATGTTGCTGTACTTACCGCCAGATATCTCATAAATTGAGTCTTCACAAAAATTAATAAATTCCGGACCTTGAAAGCAATCTTGAGGTCCTATTTTTCTACCAATCGGTTTTTCTCCCCTTTAAATCTCAAAATATTTGGTGCATGCCATTTGTTCGGAACACTGCCCCAACTCATGGGACACTTGATCCTCTTTCAATCAAGTGTATCTTCCTCATATATTCTGCCACTCAAAGGGGATATAAGTGCCCCGATTCCATCATAAATAAATTCTATGTGAGTGTCGATGTTTCCTTTTTTTGAAAATGTTTTCTACTTCCACAACACTGCCTCAAGTGAGTGGGAGCTAGATTTTTTGGACAACTCCTTTCCCAACTTCGTTGGATATGCCACCTTCTCTAGTCATTGTTCCCGTTGAATCATCTGTCCCATTGGATCTACCATCGATCTACCATTTACTCGACCAACATCTCCTCCACCCACTCTTCGTGTTTATACTCGGCACATCAAACCCTCAGTTGAGACTTGTCCCACCACTCCTCTTAAGCACACTGTCTCTTTGCAGTACTTCGAATCCACCCCGGTCGACGACTTCCTAAGCACTTCACTTGTGGAGATTACTCCTGCTTTGGTTGAGGAGGTAAGTTCTACCATTGAGGTACACAATCAGACCCGGTCTCTTTATTCCATAGCAAAATATGTCTTATTCCGCAGCTTATTGCTGACCTACAAAACATTTGCCATTTCCTTGATGGATCAACTTCAATTTACTATTGAGGTAGCATTGGTAGACCCTTCGTGTAAGGCTACAGTAGTGGATGAGATGAACGCCCTTCGACAAAATCATACGTGAGACGTTGATTTTCCTTGGGAAAACAAAGCAGTTGGTTGTCGGCGGATCTTCAACATCAAATTTAACTCAGATGGAATCTATGAACACAATAAAGCACGGTTGGTCGCCAAAGGCTACTCACAAACCTATGGAGTTGACTAATGAGGAAACATTTGCTCTAATTGCTAAACTAAACAATATTCGGGTTCTGTTATCCCTTGTTGTGGATTGGCCCTAACTCCAACTGTATGTCAAGAATGTCTTCCTTAACGACGTTCTCACAAAGGAGGTATATATATATCTACCTCCAGACTTTGACTCTACTGCTTCCCAGAGACAACTGTTTATACTGTGGAAGTCCTTCTACTGACTGAAGCAATCTCTTCGGGCTTGATTCAGCAAGTTCACGTAGTTGGTAGTGGGCCATAGGTTCTCTCAGACCCAATCAGTCCATACTCAATTCTTTTGACATTCCTTTAGTGGCCAAATTGCCATCCCTATCGTCTATGTTGAATATATTGTGTTCAAAGATAATGATCTATCGGCTTTGAAATCTCTTAAAAGCATCCTCGCCGCATCATTTGAAATGTAGGACTTGGGGTCTCTCCGATACTTCTAAGGCATGAAAGTTTTCCGGTCCTCTCAGGGCATTTGCCTTTCCCAACTCAAATATATGATGGACCTAATGACAGAGACCAACATTCTATTTTGCAAACCAGTGGCTGTTCCAATGGTCCTCAATGAGAAATTGGCTGATGTTCCCAATGTTGCTTCTGTGAACAAGACACACTACTAGTTAGGGAAACTCATCTATCTTTCTCATATGCGTCTTGATATTTGTCACGGGTAGGTATTGTAAGTCAGTTCATGCATGAACCCTGTGAGCACCATCTCACAGCTATTCACCTGATTCTCCACTACTTAAAAGACATACCAGGCTCAAGTTTGTTATTCTTGCGCCACATCTCTCGTTCTATTGTAGTTTATACTGATGCTGATTGGGCTGGGTCCGTCCATGATCGGTGATCTACCTTGTGGTATTGTTCATTTGTGTGGGAAAACCTTGTCGCTCAGAAAAACAAAAAACAGTTTTTGGTTTTTTGAATCAACGCAGAAGCTGAGTTTCATTCTATGTCCTTGGTAATCTGTGAAGCGCTCTGGTTACACATCTTGCTCAGCGAATTACGTATGCCGGTCTCTGCTCCCCTACAACAGTTCTGTGATAATAAAGCCGCAATTAACATTGCTCATAATCCGTTCTAGCATGATCACACCAGCATGTAGTGATTGACTGCACTTCATTTAGAAAAAGCTTGATTCCGGGGAGATTTGTGCTCCATTTGTCCTATCAAGTAGTCAACTCGCATATATTTTCACAAAGAATCTTCCTCGGCCGTTGTTTGACGACTTTAAATCCAAGTTGAACGTGATTGACATCCATGCTTCAATTTGATGCGGAGTGTTAGAAGTTATTTATGTTCATTTTGTTGCCTTTTCTATTGTTTCTATATATGTATTTTCTAGTTTATGCCTTTTCTTTTTTCTTTTGGGTGTTATTAGGAATGATTTGGGTACTATATCTTTTCTTTTCTATACCCCTTGTATCATGTATTTATACATTTTTTGCTGCTAAAAAATATTATCCTTCTCAATTCTCAAAATTTACTTTGTTAATTAAATTTATTTAAATAATATATCAAATAAGTCAGAGCATTTAACATTTTGGTTGTTGAACAAAAAACAAGCTTGTTGGTGAACATTGATAAGCAACTTAAGCTATATTCACATTTGGTTCATTAAACCTTTGAGTTTTAAAGAAATGTTTAAAATTATTTATTTACTAATTTGAACTATCATGATCTATTAATTGAGTCAACTTCGAGTTGTTCATGAAGTGTATTGGTTCAATCACAACTCTGGATGAAGCTAAGATGGAGTGAGATGCGGTAGCACAAGAAAATGCTATTAGGAGGTCTTCGAGTTGTGTTAGTGGTTGTGAAGTGTTGACCACACTTAATGGCATGTTGTAGGAGATCGTAGTAGATATGGGAAGATGATGTTCCTGGGTTGATTGACCTCTTAGCCATGTAGCCTCAGTGTGTCAAATTTCTAATTAGGAGTGGGTGGAGAGCGTGGAGGTAATATTGGCGGCTATTGAACAGATGGAGTACTTGAGTAGCTCAACATTAAAATATCTTGTCCTCACCAACATGTGCTTGACTCACCTGAACAAGGTGAGCTATTGAATGGGCAGGAACCTCAGCAATTCCCAGGAAAGAATAGGTGGCATTTGCCGACAATAAGTGTGCACAATCTGTAGGGTTTTGTAGGGCAATATTAGAATGCTAAGAGCGACTCTTTAAATTTTGTTTGACAACAAGCCTGACCAAGCATTGAAGAGCCATGGTCTAGCTAGACTATGACAATAAACTAGCGCTTTATTCTTTGTGTAAATAGAATATGTTGAATGTAATTGAAATGAATTTATCAGAATTTTACTGTTCATGTACTTTCTTACATTTGAGATATGTGGGAAGTTGTGCTAGGTCTTGTTTATGAGGTTACATGACTGCTTAAGATGGTTAAAGCTTGAATTAATACTGATCAACTTTGTTATTGGGAGATTTTCAAATCATAAGAAAAAGTGAATACTATATATACGAATCATAAACATTGAACTAGTAAAAATAAAGGAACATGGGCTAAGTTTGCTAGCAACTCTTTGTTTAGGGACCCGCCCATTAGAATTTGGTTACTGGCAAGCTAGAATGACAAATATAGGATGAGAAATGCATTGATTACAGGTGGAATAAGGGTTGTCTAACTTAGCTAGAAGAAAGAGATAGAAGGGCGAAGTGATGTATCCGTAGGAAAATATTGATAATTGATGCAAAGCTGGAATGTTGCTGTTCAATGATTACTATAGAGAGAGCTGTTGTCCACGATTGCTGTAGATGAAAAGCTGTTGATCATGGATAGCTAGAGTGCCTTAGATAAAAAGCTGCTTTCCATGAATTATCACGCTGTAGATAGAAATTTGTGGGTCATAGATTCATGACTATTTCGATGCCCTCATGCTGTGTTTTATGTATCGATCATGCTTAACTTTTTGATTAGTTTGTGAAAGTTTATTCTGGGTAAAGTCTTATTGAGGATATCCGTAGTTTTGAGAGTTGGTTGGAATATAAATTTTTAGTCTTTTTTGACTTATGATTTTTAATTTTTTTTTTATATGAAATGTTTGTCTATCTTAACGTGTTTAGTCCTGTCATGATGGAAGATTGGATAGGATTTTTGCAACATTTATGGAAACTTGGTTATTACAATACACTTTAGGAATTTTTTTACTGAATTTAGTTCTTTGAATAATCTTTTTAACCACATTTCCTGCTAAAAAATTTACATTTCTTGCTAAAAAAATTGATTAATGGTGAATTTAACAGTAGCCGTGAATAAAAACCTACATTGTCCTTGGCATAAAAAATGAGGAACTATATGAATACTGGCTTTTTAAAATGTTTATGCAGTTGCTATTAAGCTGTAAATAGAAGGGTGTTTGTGCAATTTTTCCTTATGGAGAAGTTAACTATGGTTGATCTTAAAACATATTGAAGAACATATCTCAGGTCTAGAATTTAAAAATTAAAACTAGTATTCCACCGAAGTGCTCCATCATTGTATCCCTTTATATTGTTCTTTCTTTGGTTAGCAGTTTTTGTGGGTTTCTCTTGTTAATATTTGTGGTGATAATTTTTTTTACAAGCTCCAATTTAACAGAACCTTACGCACACTGTAACAGGGCATTTTCTATGTTCTGGACTCGAGCTCTGAATATTCCATTTCCTCGATCTTATGTATTCCCTGAACCAGCAGGAGATCAAAGCAACAATCGTGTTTTGCATACTAGCTATTGTGTTGCTCCCGAGACTGATATGGCCGGTGAAGCATCTGCTGATACCAATGGTGAAAGATACAGGGTCGTTACTTTTATTGACATTAATTTTTTTGAAAATTTAGATACGTAGCACACAATTCCTATGTATTCACAAATGCCACACTAAACTTTCATATTTACATACATAGCACATATGTCACACTAAACTTTCATATTTACTTACATAGCACTTTGGTGTTTTAAACTATACATGAAAATGTATATTTCACTTTTACAAAGTGATAATAATGCTATTTTTATGTGATATTAAAGATTTAAGTGCCTTGTGTGTAAATATGAAATTTCAGGTTTGAGATATGTAAATATATAATGACGTGTGCTATGTATGTAAAGGCCTCTTTTATTTTTCCTAGCTTTGTTGTTGCTGTATGCTTAACATGCCTGTGTGTGCATTTGTGCGATTATGTCCATATGTATATATATATATTTAAGTATTTATGCTTGATGTTTGGAGTTATATATCTGTTTATATTTGATTTAAAACCTGCAGATATTTATTGATTTTTTTTTAGTGCCATATGCGTTATTGCTATTCTTTTGACGGGTATTTTTCTCTTACCGTAGGACAGTGGTATTTTGTTTGACAAGGAAAATAGTACTGAAACTTCCACTTCAAAAGCTGGAGAGACTGTATGGGTTGAGGGTCTAGTTCCTGGTATTGACTTCTGCAATCATGGTATACTAACCGATCTAATATTAATACAGAGCCTTCTTAATGTATCGTCGAATTTGAAAGAAACATGCAAAAATGCATTGCACAAATGTTTTTTTCTTAAGTTGTTAGTTAATTTGTTTTAGCTGGCTGGCCTGATAGATACTTGCGTAATTGCTTCGCTGGAGCTTATTATTGGCATATTTGTTGATACTTTACCACATATTGCACTTCAAATCTAAACTACTTAAATACATTTCCAAGATATTTGAAGTACAAATTCATATGTTTTAGTAAAGATATCCAGGAATCACCGAATTTAAGTTCCATCTTTTGTTTTTTACTGCTAAGGTATGATTTTAGCATAACTGCTTTGATTTTTTATTCATGGAAATATAATTGATATACAAGGACAGATCATATGCTATGATAGGTTTTCACTTTACAGATGCTTTCCTCCAGGTTTGAAGCCAGCAGCAACTTGGGAGGTTGATCAGATTGGATCCATGACTGGAATTCCTTATTCAATGTATCTCCAGCTTGGTATATCTGCTGAATATTTTATTATAGTGGTTTGAAGTCTATACCTTTCTCTTTTCATTATGATCGGATGTGTGTGCATTTGCAATGGTACTGTTGAAATTCATTATAATGCGTAATATTTTTATTAATATGATAGGAGTTGAAATTCAGAATAATGTGAAATATTTTTATTGATATAAAAAGGAAGCATAAATAACCCTTATTGAATCCTAAAATAGGAAAGACAATAAAAGACAATAAAATAAAATAAAAGAAAAATAAAGATATAACACTTAATATCTTAACTTAATCAATTCATATTAATTATTTGGAGACAAATGATACAACATGAAATAGAAAAACTTAAAATAGGAAAGGAAATAAATCCAATCCAAGAAAACAAGTCTAAAATAAGAAAGGAAATAAATTTTATATTAGGAAATAAATCCAATCCTCATAACTTCTAACAGGAATAAATTATTTCCTACTATAACTTCTAACACTCCCCCTCAAGTTGAAATATGTTTAAAAACCATGTTCAATTTGGATTTGAACATATCAAACAATGGGCATAGAAGATCCTGCAAAGTAGAAAATGAAGTCTTCATCCCATATTGTGGTTTTCTTTGACTGCACTTCCTGCAGTGTCTGTAGGTAGGTAGAAGACTCCTACATATAGTGCTATAGTGGAATTTGCAGGGAAGTAGAACTTTTACTTTGATTTTGAAAATTGGTTTTCGGAAATATAATTTAAATATTAGAGGTATATAGTTTGAATTTTGAAAGTAGTATGTTTTAATTTTTGAAAAATGAGACCAAATATATCTCATTTATCCAATAGTTTGCATAATCCTGCCCGATGTCGCTAGTATTACACCTTCCTAAAAGATAAGTGCATACATTGGCGATAAACTCAATACTGTAAACTAAGAGATTTGTGACATTAGTTTGGTCTGCGAACCTTTTATATGTGACCGATAAGTTCCCCTATTTAATACAAAGATTAAATAATATTTATTTTACCACAGTTCCAAATTTCCTGTAGAGGCATACCCCTATAGTTAATTACATCCCAAATGACAGGAGTCATTTGAGAAAACTCTCGATAATGATCAGTGGTTCTAGCCTTCAGGAATTCGAGGTTTAGGTTTTTACGATAAGACGTGGAAAATAAATTGGAGTGGCTCAAATAAGAACAATTATTTTCAGGAGTCCAAAGGGAGAAAAAGGTAGGGGATGTCACAGATCCTGAGGAGAATCCTCAGTGACTTCCCAAACTATCCTAATGTGTGACTAAGTTTTAGAGATGATGTTATTTAGATGTTTAATCCTGACAATTTTATTATTTGAGACTTACAATTGTATAATATTTGATTATGCAAATAACCCGCAGAGATAGGAGGGTTTATGTCGTGCCACACGACAATCTCAGAACCTAAGGCGAGTTAGGACTTTGCTGCACAACATGGTTGTACAGGAGCCTAAAGAGGGTGTGAGGGTTTATGTCGCGCTGGGCGAGCTACCTCGAAGTCCTATGAGTTGTTATTTAGATTAGGAAAGTTTAGTTGGTGTAAACTTGTTTTGTTGTTGTAGAATGACGATCACCTCCACTTGTAGTCCTCTCCAAGCTCCTCGTCGCACTGTTCACTAAGTTGCTTCAAACTCCTCGTCGAAGTAGCAGTCCTAAAGTCTAACGTTCGAAAGGTTTTACCAGGTGTGTTTCAAGGTTTTGGTTTTGCTGCCATTATGGGGGGTTAAAGTTGATTAGAGCGACACTGGTTAGGATGCCACGGTTTCCTCGTTCCGGTACCACTATTTTCTTTTGAATTTATTTAGTATAAATGAGTTGTGAAACTCATTTAAACTCGGGAGATCTCATTAGCAACCGTGAGTTACTTTCTCCGAGGGCTACCGTAAATTCAAAAGAACGTGTTATGTTTTTTTTTGAAAATGTTTAATTTTTAAAAATTATTTTGTTTTGAACATGAAATCACAATCAGTGCTTGCATGATATGTTAGAGCAAGAATAAATTGCAGTAACAAAAATTTAAAAAATAACAATAAATAAAATATACCTGTTTACCTGAAGTATCTGGTGTTGCTATCCCTGCTGCGTGTTTAGCTCACAAAACAGAATATAATTTGCAGAGAATTTAAATAAATTATAGAAAAAAGAAAATAGTAAGCAGCAGAACAAGTAGTAACAGTAGCTAGAAACTTAGAACAGGTGATCCTAAGACTTCCTACATCACCAGACAACAACTAGCAAGCTTGTACGGTGATCCTACAATCTCCTAAGGCTCCAAGCAGCAACTAGTAAGCGTGTACGGTGATCCTACGACCTCCTACGACTCTGGACAACACTTAGCGTGTAGGGTGATCCTATGACCTTCTACGGCTCCGGGCAGCAGCTAACTGCGGGCAGCAGCTAACAAGCGTGTACGGTGATCCTACGACCTCCTACGACTCCGGACGACACCTAACAAGCGTGTAGGGTGATCCTATGACCTCCTATGGCTCCGGGCAGCGGCTAGGAACTCCGGACAGCAACTCTATGACTCTCTACGACTCCGGGCAGCAACTAGAAACTCCGGACAACAACTCTATGGCTTCCTACAACTCCGGGCAGCTGCTAGGAGTTTCAAGTAGTGATCCTACAGCTTCCTACGACTCCGGGCAGCGGCTAGGAACTCCGGACAGCAACTCTACGGGTCCCTACGACTCCGGGCAGCGGCTAGGAACACCGAACAACAACTCTACGGATTTCTACGACTCCGGACAGCTGCTAGGAGTTTCAGGTAGTGATCCTACATCTTCCTACGACTCCGGACAGCAGCTAGGAACTCCAGACAGCAACTCTACGGCTTCCTACGACTCCGAACAACGGCTAGGAACTCCAGACAACAACTCTACGTCTTTCTATGGCTTCGGACAGCAACTAGGAGCCTCCTACAATACTCTACAGTGATTGACAACTTCAAACAACACATATGCAGTGACTTTTAAGCTTCCCATAACACTCTATAGTGATTGACAACCTCAAACAACATTTAAATGGAACGCAAAACCCTCCAAAACAGTGATTAAATTGTTCAGGATCGACTAATAAAAGCATCTTGAAGCAGTGATCAAGTTGCCAAATGAATAAAATTGTGCATCAGACTAATACTTACATCTTTCTAATTAAGACATAAATTCGGTTAACACGATTTAATGCAAAAAAAAAAACTATTTGGAGATCTCCAATATGATTGGGAGAGCTACTTATGATTGGGAGAGCTACTAACACTAACATAACAAATGTAAGCAGGTAAATAAATTATGAAGTGTCTACAACATAAGTTTAGCTCAGCCGTCATGGGATCAAATCTTAGGGATGAAAGAATGCAAGAGGAAGCTTTAAACCGAATTGAATCTATATATAAACAGAACTAATTAATTTCTTAAACACTTTCTTTCCAACTTTCAACAGATTCAACAGTTATCTAAAAAAAAAAAGAGTTTAAGCGAGGAGATCAAACCTGTACCGACGAATCTCAAAAATTTCGGGTAGGAGGAGGAGTCATGTCGAGCGAGAGTGCAGGAGAAGACTGGCTTCGACATAAGGATGAGTCTTGTTGAATGAGGGTTTCTGGAGAGGGAGTCACTCGAGCGAGGGAGGTAAGCAGGAGTGAAGCGAGAGGGATCGAGCGGAGGAGCGGGGGATCGGGGAAAGGGGAAGAAGGCGAGCGCTTTTGTTCGCAGAAGAGGAGCACTCTGAACAGAGGAGGAGCGGGTTTTTGGTCGTGAGGGAGAGACGCAGCAGAAGCGGGAGAGTCGAATGCTACTTCTTTTGCGTCCAGAAGAGGGGAGACGAGCAGGTGGGCTTCGGTGCAGAGGAGACGAGCGGGATGGTTTCAAGCTGGACAGGAGGAGGGAGTCGAGGAAGAAAGGAGGCGGGATCTGTGGCTTCGGTGCGAGAGATCGGGAGTCGAGTGGGGGACTCTAGTGCAGAAGGAAGGAGTCAAATGCTGGGAGAGTTTCGGCATGAGGAAGGAGGAGGCAGGGCGAACGAACAAAAAGAAGTATCGGAGAGGAGCAGGTCGGGTCGCAGAGGAGGAGCGGGGGCGAAGGAGGATGCCTAGAGAGGGACGAAGGTTTATGGGCGAGCGACTCGAGGTTTCGGTGCCGAGGGGAGCTTCGATGTCGAGCGAGGAAAAGGCGAGCGACTTCGTCCTGTGGAGGAAGGGGCATGTGGGATTTCAGTGCTGAGAGGCGAGGCAAGCGAAGACAAGGGTTTCAGTCTGTGAAGGAGGGGTGCGGGATCGAGCGTGAGGAAGAGGGAGTCGAATCTAGAGCAGTAAAGCCTGTTCGTGATTTGTATCCGAGAATTCCAAATTGTCGTTATGCAACGATGCGTGTGTTATTGATTACCGGCTTTATTGAAATATGTAACTCTCAATTAAGATGAGATTAAATAGCTCATTTAAAATTTGAAAATTTGAAATTTAAAATTGTCCGGCCCGAATCGAACCCGAGTTGAACCTGGGTTGAGCTCGGGTCTGCGCCCTGCTAAAAAAACTTCAATCAATTTTCGTGTTAATTGTTCGCGTGCGAAATCATAGTGATATAAGTGTTCTTCCTAGCTAAAGTCGACGTCTCGGAATGGTCCGTTTCGTCATCCGGGGCCGTCCGGACAAATTCGCCGACGGTGCGGTAAAAAATGTGTCAAATTGTGGTTTTCGCAAGTGTTTGAGTCACGAAAGGTTTACCTAAGGCTGTCTGATCCTATGGGAACTCATTTTTGGGCCCTCTACATGTTAGTCTTTAGCCCTTGCAACTAAGAGTTGAGTGCTTGGGACTACTCATGCGAGGTCTGCACAAAAATGAGTTAAGAAGTGGCTCGAAGTTCTATAGGAGGTGGGCTCCATTGCTAGTCTGCTAGGATGGTAAATAAGAACTCCTAAGGCTAGATTTTGAGTTCTGGGCGTGAGAAACTAAGGTCTCACTGAAAATGAAGTCAACAACTTGTAGGAAAAACT